CCACCACCATGAGAGAACTGTCTGAGCTTAAGCTTGTATCATAAATGATTGTGACACAAATGGCAACATGAAAAGAAGGCTGCTTGCTTCCTGGTGACATTTCTTCTACTTTGAGTCAGAGGTACCACACATTTCCCAGATCATTTAGCTGTAAATATTCTAATACCTCATTTCATCATTCATCAGCAGCTTTGTACTACTCTTCAAGAAAGACAAAGGCCCAAGAAGTTAGATTTTGCATTTGTACTCACCATTAACACTGACTAGAATCAAGATTAGGGGCCTGCTCCTCAAAAACAAGTTAACTATAAACTCTTCAAGCAGAAAACACATGCCACAGTTTAATATAAGCAGCTATTCTGAGAAAATTACACTTTTCTCTCCAGACCACATAGCAATACCTGAAAAAGTTACACTAAATTTGTAAAAGGGAAGGGGGAAGGGAGCCCAGCCAAGGACCCAATATCTGAACTGGAGGTTCAGTTCCTCCTCTGAGCCTCTAACTGCAACTTGCACTCCTCCCTTGGTATTTATAGCTTGCCTTTGGGGTATGAAACAGTTGATGAATTTCATGTCCCTCTCTTTTTTAGAAGGGCTATCTCTTAAGAATAACTCAATGGCCAATCAGAAAACAAATAGGTGTTGGAGTTGAAGAGCTTTTCCAGGAAAGCTAGATCACAGAGAAACTTTCAATTTATACTTGTAAAAAGAAGTTTACCACATTCACACGAGACAAGATGTTCTCCTGCAGCCATCTTCCTTCATTGCTTCAAAAAAAGGCAGAATTACAATACTCTGAAACTTTCCTGAAAATAACTGGGTTCCTTAAAAGGTCAGTTCCCTAAATTCTACCTAATTCTACGGCATGCACCTTTCACCAATAGCTATTTGAAAGGTATTAACCTATAGAGAACTATTCTTGCCTAATTTCCTCAAGCCACCAGGCCCTGATAATAAAGAGCAAAATGTTTTAAAAAGCACTATTTTAAACTAAGCTCTACACTGCAGCACGTTTGTCAGTGAACTTCAATTCTAGCCCACAATGTACTGAGTGCGGTAGCATCAGAGCCTCAGGTTTCCATGATCCAAAGTGGGCACTAAATTCCAACAGAGTAAATGCACAGCAGCCTCTCTGTAACCTGAAATTGCCCAGAACTGCTGAAGAAAGGAAACCACCTTTTACCTTCTTTTGATAAGGTTCCTCCATGTTGGGGGAGGGGTAGCTAATTCCCCCAAAGACAGTCAACAATGCTTGTTTTATAAAGTGTAATTTTTTTTAATAACTTATTATAGATCTGAATATCCTCTGTAACACAACCTGGACCCCCTCATATCACACCATTTTAGAAAAGGAAGTTTAAACCAGTGATCCCTAACTAAGGAACATTTAACAATGACTGCATATATTTTTGACCGTCACTACTGGAGGGCAGGGAGCTACTGTCACCCAGTAGAGGCCAGGTATACTGCTAAGCACTCTACAATGCACAGTACAATTTCCCACAACAAAAAATGAGCAAGTCCAAAATGTCAACAGTGCCCAGGCTGAAAAACCCTGGTTTAAGCTAAAGCTCTACATTCGATTTTAGTCAGTTATCAAGTCTCAACACCGAATGAGAATTTAGATCTCAGGATCTAGAAAATTCCCAGGTAGCCTTCCTTGGCCATTTCTTCCTACACACACACACACACACACACACACACACACACACACACACGCTCTTTGAACACTGTGTACAAGTTACTGATGTAGAACTAAGGCTTGGGCAGCTCTGATAAGTCCTACTTTCAGAGTTCAGAAAAGAGTAACAAAATCAAGCCATTAAATGCAAAAACATCAGTCCACAAAAATTAGTCAACTTGGAATCGCTCCAGTATTTATTTGTTAAATACTGGACTGTTCCTACAGTACAACAAATTTTAGGACATTCTTCCACCCAATCTGGGGAAGTCAAGTGTACCTAGACAAATTCCACGCCAATTAACAGAAAACTGCAAACCAGAGAAGCAGCATGAACCTGGCTCTGAGGAGGTGCCATTCACCCAAAGCCCATGTAACCAACTACTGAACTTAAATCAAGTTATAATAGCACTAGGCTGGGAAGGGCTACCACCTAATCCTTGCAAATACACTCAACTTACTTCAGTCTATTACCAATTTAAGGAAAAAAACCAAAAGAGGTCCCGGAGCTGGGAGGCAATCAGGAGCCATAGTCAATCTGTGGTAGATTTACTTGACTACTGAGGAGATTCATCATCACAGAAGGATACACACTGAATCTGAGTGAGAACCTAAACATGATGCCCAATTATTTAAATGAGTTTTTGGCAAACAGAAGGCCCCCTGAACCCAGAAGGAGCAAAATGACTACAAATCAAGATAACTTCCAATTATTTACCCCCTACTCACTAAAAACTCCAGACACCTGAGAACATCCATGGACAAGAGGGTTGCACAATACGTTTATTATGAAGATGGAGCTCAATGGTATTAATGCTTTAGCTAACTTTTTCAGAGGCTACACTTGGTAAAACTTTACTTTTCTAAATTTAAACATCAAAATACAATTATTTTCCATCAACAGAGGATGAGTTAAAAACCATGCACTCGTCCCTTAAACTGCTTTTTGGGATAGAAGACAAATGCCAACACCTTCAGCTAAATGAAAGTGTCAGGCTATCAGATACAAAGATCCTTTGCAGCTTTCGCTGAACTAGCAAAAAGAATACTATACAAGCATTCAAAATCCTCAAAAGTCAATTATGTCCCATACTTTAGTAGAAGGTCCTAAATCCCATGAACCTCTATTGTCATGGAAATTCCAAACCCAGTTAATTTAAAAGTGTAAACTTTTTTCTACAAAAATATTTGTTGACTAACAAATCTGTTTTAGGTAACATAGTTTTGCCTAAGATTTGGCCTCTCGTTAATTCACACTTGTCCCAAATTTCCTTTAGATTAACAGTAAAAACCACCTAGATGGTCCACAATACAAAACTAGAATTAGATCAGGAAGCAAAATAAAGCCATGCGTTAGGGTAAAATTTTAGTTAGGTTTTATTATTTCCTTATTTCTTAATTTAAAAAATCTGAAAGAAAACAACAGTTTTCCTGTAGCCATTAAAAAGCCGGGGTCAGGAAATAGCCTTGGTAATCCTCCATTTTTGCTAGATTAGAATGATGGGCAAGTTATTTTACTCACCAGCTACTGCACGCTGTACTAACAAATCGGAAGGCCTGTTGAAACAGTAAAGTCCTTTTCAACAGCTGTCTAAAACATTCTGGGCCAAGAAAGAAGTGTGTGTGAATCAAATTGCTATCAAGATTCCTACTCAGTATCTAATCTTATAAATACGAAACTACCTTTACTGTTCTACAAACAACTGTAGTTTCAAGTTCCCACTTTCAGTTTTAGTAAAAGAACAAGTTACTTCTTTCAACTTTCAAATAAAAATAAAAATACTCCAACCAAGACGCTATTACTCTCGTCACAAAATTGCACTTCAGTAACTAACATAGCAATGATACATTTTTGGGACAAACTGGCGCTTTCTAGGTGAAAAATAGTCCCACCATATAAGACTTGTAAAATAGATGTAACGTTTTAAGATGTCTTCCAAGTTAAATCTGAGCAAGCTTTGTTTTTTCCTAGATTTTTTTTCCCCACTTTGTCAGAAAAGCTTTTGTTAACAGGTCCTCACTTACATTTGTGGCCCACAACAATTTCCATTAATTGTGACACTCACTCAACCATAAAGACACAATGAAGAAGTGGAGACTTTAACTGGCCACAGTAAACTGATTTTACTGTATTACTGAGTTGGCCAAAAGGTTCCTTTTTTTCTGTAAGATGGCTCTAGGAGTGCTTGTCTTTTGCTTCATTCGAAACAATTGTGTTAAGATTGTATTGATAGCTGTCATAACAGCCTATGTTAAAAAAAAACTTACCAAAATTGGTGAATTTTTGTGCAGCCATTTTAATTTGAAGATGGAAGATAATACGCAACATTTTCAATGTACGATTCTTTATTATTTCAAGAAAGGTAAAAATGCAACTGACACACAAAGATTTGTGTAGTGTATGGAGACAATGCTGTGACTGATAAAATGTGGCTTGTTAAGTTTCTCAGTACTATTGACATTTTGGCCAAATAATTCCTTGCTGTGGGGCTGTCTTATGCACTGGAAGATGCTTAGCAGCACCCGTGGCCTCTACCCACCAGAAGCCAATGGCAGGAGATGGCCGACGTACTCAAAATGTCCAAATCAATAAAGTTACTGGTGAAAATGAAAACGTGTCTTTTATGTTACAGAAAAAACAAGATAACGGACTTTACTGGCCAACCCAATAGTTATTTCTACACCTCAAAATTTAAGCAGCATAAAATTTAAATAAATACCCAAATTTTAAAAGTAAAAACTGAGTTCAACAAATATTTGAGCATCCAGTAAATATCACAGAACTCGCAGAGTGACGACACATTAAGCTTTTATGAAGTTGTAACAAACATGCTTCAAATAGCTGACCTGATGAAATTTCCCCAGTATCTGGGCCAAAAAGTTTCCTCAAAGGGAGGAGGTTTGGCAACACAACCAAACTGTCGCTTGTCGCATGTTCAGTGGATTTCACGTTTCCCGTCCAGTCTTCACGAAGACAATGTAAGTTTTAAAGACTTTTCACTTCAGAACACATTCTCGGGTCTCCAGAAACTCGCCAAGCTCCCTCTCGGTACTGGACACCCGACCGCCTGCCACCAGGACCGGTCGCGCGTCTCTGGTTCTCTCCTCCTGGGGTGCGGAAGGAGCTCACCGGGCAGCCCTCAAGGAGAACAAAGAGCCCTCGGGTTGGCAAGTGCTTCCCGCGTGGCGGAGCTCCTTGCTAAGAGACACGAGTGCAAGAGCAGCCCAAAAGCCCCCTTGGGACGAGAGAAGGAATGGGGGGCTCCGGCAGGTCGGCGGGGCCTCCCGTCCTAGACCCTGCAAGTGCGTAAGGCCTCACCTTGCTGCGATCCTCCTCTTGCTGCTGCTGCTGCTGCTGCTGCAGCAACTCGGGAACCGCGGCCATGACGACGCGGGCCTCGAGCGCCGGCTGCCTGGCTGTGCGAAGAGAGAAAAAGCTGGGCCGCCGCCACCGCCGCCAGGGTACTCTGAGGGGCGACCGCAGCCCCGCCTCCAACTAGCTTCCCTGCCGGACGGCGGCAGGAGGCCTCGAGACTCCGCCGCCATCCCAGAAGCCCCCAAAACGGCGAGTGGAGCGCCACGTGCTCCCCGAGCTGCCTCCCCCATTCCCGCTGCCGTCCATCTTGGAGACGGGCAAAGAAGCTATGCGGGTCCTACCCTCGCTCCGGGCCACGCGGAAGCCGCTGACCACAGGACCGCGACAGGAGCGCAGTAGCAGAAACACTCCCAGCGACGCGCGTCTTAAAAAAGACCGCGCTCCTGTGCGGGGGAATTTATTACTCAGCCAGAGTCCAATATGGCGACGAGCTGTGACGTGAACTAGCTCTCGTGAGAGCGAAAGCGCGCGACTTGGAGGCGCCCGCCCTTTTGCCCGAAGGGAGGGACTCCCCAACGACCGTGCGAGAGTCTACGGTAGCGAACGTAAGTGTAGGGGCGGGGCGTGAGTGCCGCAGTGCATGCTGGGACCGCCGTGCCTTGGGCGAGGTTTAATTCAAGACCCGAGCGCGGGATCAAGGAAAGTACGCGTTGGGAAAGGCTGTTAGCTCCATGAGAGTTAGGTGAAGGGTGGTGTCCTCTGAGGTACTATCCCTACTCTGGGCTGAGCTTCTGTTTAAGCCATCTCTTTCCTAATCCTGATCCCCTAAAAGCCGCGGACTCTTTCGCCGCCATGGTTCCATACCTATGGCGTCGGAGCGGAAGGCTGCCCTCGGGATTTACGATGGTGCATCCTGTTGACCGCAGCTTACCGGCTCGGACCAGAAGTGGCCCTGCAGAAGCTGGATTTCGACACCTGTAAAACAGGTCGCAATAGTACTCACTTTTAGAGGATTGTGAGGTTTAAATGAGAAATTTCCACACAGCCTACTTAGCAAAGAACCTGAATACAGGGATCCGTGGCTAATTGCTGGCTGTGATTCCTGGCCTGTATAGGATGGGCTCTAGAGCATCAGTCCCCAACGTTTTTGGCACTAGGGATAGGTTTGGAGGAAGATAATTATTTCGCTTGGGGCGGGACAGGAGGGGAGCTCAGGCGGTAAATACAGCCTAAGCTTTGCTCGTCCGCCGCTCACCTGCTGTGGGGCCTGGTTCTTCACATGCCAGGGACTGGTGTCGGTTCGTAGATGGGGGGTTGGGAACTCCTGCAAGATGTCTTTTTTTCCTCTTGTGTCACTCTTCCCTTCCTAGGCGTCACATTCTCCAGACTGAATATTAGGAACTCCTTACCCCAAGTTTTCTGCTATTTCGCATTTATTAAGTTCTGATCCTTCTGGTATCGATGAGAGCCTTTCTTTGTAAATAGCTTTGTCCAAACATGTCTTAAAAGCTTATTGAATAGGCTTGTAGTGTGCAATATCATACTAATGCAGCTTTCACAATAATAGTTAAAATATTTTACGTTTGGTACCTAATACAACTTTTCTCTTTACCAGGAATGCAAAAACTAAAAAGTCCCTCAGCATTGCAAGGAGACTAAAGGGAAGTGAAAAGTCTGAAAATGAGGGCATTTCAGACCATCTGCAGGCAGTTCAGAATTTCAAAGAGGTTTTCCATAGAACCATCCCCACGTGTGGCTTTCTCCACTTCCTCTTATTCGTGTGGCCGTAAGAAAAAAGTGAACCCTTATGAAGAGGTAAACCAAGAAAAGTACTCTGATTTAGTACAGTCTGTGTTGTCATTCAGAGGCCATGCTCAGACTCCAGAATCATTGTTTGAGGAAGATACTTTACTCTATGGACCTGTGAGTAAGTGGAAACCTCCAAGGCAAGATGAGGAGGCAAGAGTTCCCGGAAATTGGTTTCCTCTCTTCAGTTCAGAAAGAAGCTTAAAACCAAATGCAACAAATGACACCACAGTTCCTTTGAAAATCCCTTTGCAAAGGAATAAGATGCCAAGCGTGACCCGGGTCCTTCAGCAGACCATGACATCAGAACAGATTTTCTATTTGGAGAGGTGGAAACAGCGGATGATTCTGGAACTGGGAGAAGATGGCTTTGCAGAATATACCTCAAGTAATTTTCTTAATCCTTGTTCTATATTGTTACTGTGTTCTAGAATATAGAGCACTGTTGTCATTCTTTAAAGGTTTTTTTTCTTAACTACTGAGGAATTACTTTCAAATTATAATAATTACCTTTAAATAGCACTTTGTGTATTAACTCACTTAATCCTCATGACAGCCCTATAAAGCATAGATACTATTACCGTCATTTTTTTGACAGTAGAGACCTGGTTCTTCTTGCTGATGCATATAAAGAATTACAGATCAGCAAATCCATTAACATGCCCTCAGGGTTTATTAGTGATCTGTTTTGGAAGAGAACGGGCCAGCTAGGGTTCTGGGTGGTGGTGGTGGTGATGATGAAAGGCATAGGTTCAGGGCAAAGCAGGGCAGCAAAAGTAAGGCGTGGCCAGTCTCCAGGTCATCTGTTCTGAAGAATTACCTAGTTGGCGGGATGGGAGTAAAAAAAGTTACATATTGATTGGCAGGTAAATGTGGTGCCCGCTTTCCAGGAGGGACGTGACTATCCAAACTTAGGTATGTGTGGGGATCTGTTAGCCAAAATCCTTATTTTGCTTCCAGCTCTATTTGTTCATCTTGCTGTAAAACACACATGCCAGGAGAGAGTTAATTAAAGTTGGGGTAGTTACCCAAAGTTATTTATGGGCTCTTTCTTTAAGCATTAGAGACTCTTACAAAACAGATAGTATCCAGAGATAGGCAGTTAACCATAAAGTTGTTTCATGGGCTTCTTTGGACACTGTGGACCCTGTTCTGCCTTTCAGGCCTTGGGATGAAAGTAGTTTCAAGGCTTTCTTTCCCAGATAGTGGAACTACATAGAATTTCCAGGACTTCCGTCCTCTTGTGCTAACAGTGTTTCTTGTGTTGGAACACGTGACAATACTATCGGACCAGGCTCAGGACTGCTGAGTTAGTGGGTGAAACCCATCTTCCTCCTCCCTGCCTTGGTCTGCTGTTCATTCTGCCTAAGTGCTAATAGGTGTTTCTTGGCAACCAGGATGCTAGACAGTGGTCAGTAACAGCATTGCTGACTCAAGAGTATCTCTTGCCTCAATTTCACACATGAAAATGAAGCACAGAGATTAAGTATTTTGACTAAGTGATATATACAATTATTTTATAAGCTAAAAACAAGTATTAGAATTGCCTGGTTTTTGATTATGGAAAGGAGTCAATCATCTGATAATGGAATTCTAGTTTGCTAGGCATTTTGTTCAGAATCCAGTAAATACCACTCCCCTTGTTCTACTTCTCAATGTAGACCGACAAGCCAGACTAATAGATTAAAAACAGTAAACCAGAACAGATTATCTGTACTTACATCTTGGTAAATTCAGGTAATCAGATACTGTTGATTAGGAACTGAGAATAAATAAACTTTAACGTTCAACTCCTGACCTACTAACTTATACGAGAGAATAGCTTGCTTGTTACTGATCCTCTGGTTGTCTTTTGTGCTTCCCAGAAAGCAGTATGTGTACTCCTGGTGGTACAGCAGCACTTTTATTTTTAAGAGTAATGCAGTTATTTTGAGGTAGCTTAGAAAAAACCATGTATATGCATACTGTTAAACAAGTGGTCACCTGTTTTAAAGAAAATTATTCAGTATATAGGTGGCACCTGGATAAGCCAAATATAAATGGTCAAAGCATAGTGCCTTATAACATTTCTCAGCTGTTTGGGACAAGGAATCCATGCAGGATTAACTGCCTTCTGAAGAAAGTTAGTAACCACCACCAAGCTACAGGCATACCTCCTTTTACTGTGATTTGCTTTATAAGTGCTTCACTTTATAGTGCTTCACAGGTGTTGCTTTTTTTAAAAAAATTGAAGGAAAAAAATGACAACTCACTTTACTTAATACGTGCTTTCTTTCCGTGGTGTGATACTAAACCCCGAGTATCTCCAAGGTATGCCTGTATTCTCTGCTTTCTAAACAAGCAACATAAAAAAAATATTTTAATGGCATCTTGAGTTTTGTGCATTTCCCAAGTATCAGTTTACCTTTTGAAGATTGCTGAGGATGGGAAGATTGCTGACTTACTCTGATTTGTATGTGTTGATCATAGTAGAAATAGGTGAGGTTTATTTTTTTCAGTTTTCTGCTACTGATTTTTTTAAATCTTAAAATATTACCTATCCTGTCAGTTCTATCAGTCAAAATATTGGAGACTCATGAATGTTTTTTTAATGCCCTTTATATACTGGAACTTGAAAACATTTCACTTTCCTTTAACTTATTGAGTGTATACTCTGACTAAATGCTATTTGCAGTAAATCTTGAAACTTTTAAAATTTATTTTACCTTGGTCGTATAATTCAGCTGATTGGTGCTTTGTCCAATACGCCAAGGTTGTGGGTTTGATCCCCTTTAGGGGACATACAAGAAGCAACCAGTGAATGCATAAATAAATGGGACAGTAAAAACCAATGCTTCTCTCTCTTTCATGTTCTGATCCCTACAGTCTCAGGGGTTCTGTAACCTAGCTTCCCATGTTTGTTGCCATTTATATGTTAAGAACCTAGCCAGAGATTGTCTGTAGTGGGGAATGAATTTTCTATTTGCTTGGCAGCTGATGAAGCAACTTTTTTCTTCTGTTTTTAATATGTATATGTTCTGTCTACTTTATTAAGCTAGTCTGCAGATGAATACTACACTTCTTTTTCTTAGATTTTAACTGCATCAGTCTTAAATTTCTGATAGGCCTTTGATGTGCTGGCATTAAGTCCAATTGAGCTAAGTAAAATTGCAGTAGAATTAACTGAGTTGCTCAATTGAATTCCATTTAACTCTCCAAGTTATATTTCCCAGAAGTTATTCTCTTTTTGGGTAGTGGTAGAACTGACCTTTCAAAATCTTTGTAAGATATACCTAACAAATGTAATACGGTTTGACATTACCTCATTAGATGAGATTGTTTTCCTCATTTTCTGTGGGCCTGTCTCTGAGCCTATACAAGGGGAGGACACCCAAAAAAACCTGAATTATCTTCTGGAGGGTGGGCCCGTTGTAGTATAGGCTTCCTCCACTAAGTTAGTTCTAGGAACCCATCTGTGTCAGTGTACCAGTTGGCGCTGTTTAAGAATTTTTTTTAAAGACTGTTTCAACACACTTGCCATTTCATAACAGGTGATTTATGAGCACACCTGCCCACACCACACTGAGTGTTCAGCAGTATTTGACCAGAAACTGCTTGACCCCCTTGCCCCACTCTCCCAATTTACCTGATCTCACCCAGAGCAACTTTTTCGTTTTCCTGGATGAAAAAAGCCCTCAAAGGAAAATATTTTGCTGATGTGGAAGAGGTGAAACAAAAAAAAAAAACGGCAAGAGCACTAAAAGGCATCAAAATCAATAAGTTCGAACTGTTTTGAGCAGTGGAAAAAAAAATCTTGATATGTGTATTACATCAAATGGAGAGTACTTGGAAGGTGACTGAAGTTTAAACATGTGAGAATAAATACACAATTTTGTATAAATAAATTCCAGGGTGTTTTTTGGTGGGGGGGGGGTTCCCCCCTCATATATTTCTACTGTTTCTGTGTGTATCTAAATGATCCCAGAATTTACTTTCCTTGTCCTGTATGGTGGTGGACTACAATGAATATAGACTCTGATGTCAGACTGCTGGGTCTAGCTTTTTGCTTTTGGGCAAATTAGCAGCTCTGGTTAAGCCTCATTCATTAAAATGGGAGTAGTGACACTTACCTTGGTGGTGGTTGTATTTGAAAGTTAATACAGTATTTTGAAACTTACCTGGCAAGGGAGAGATAGCATGATCATGAAGGTGTTTTTCCCAGGTTGAGGCTTATCCATTGTACTATGGATGTGCTGACGCCTGTGATTTCCCCAAATGTGGGAAATTCAACTGCTTTACTTGTGGTATTGGGGGACTGTATTCATGCTCTCTCCTGTTAAAAAATATATATATATATATATATATATATATACAGTATTTTGAAAACACCAAGGCCACTGCTTAGCACAACATCCCCCTTTCTTCCCCTTACTGAATGAGAGTCAAGTGAACTTGTACTATTTTTCATTTGTTGAATATGTTTACAGTCTTTGAAAAGTACCTGAAGGAAAAAATTCAGGACAGAGCAACTGTTCTACACTGTTTACCCTAAAAAAAAATGCAGGAGAAGAATGTCACATATTTTCCTCTCCTTCTTCCAGGTCTCACAAAATCCCCAAAACAATTCCTTGTTTTTAATTTATATGTGCTTTGATTTTCATTTCTTGGCAGTCACTCAGCCTGCTACTAAAAGGCTTTCACACCATTTTTAATGCCCATAATTAAATTTTGGTTATAAAAAGTGTAAACGAGTGCAGTTTTCCTAAATTTATAATAATTATTGGAATGGCTAGAATGTTCTGTTTAGTTTTTTTCCATAAGATGGCTCTGGTAGTGCTTAGTTGTCTTTCACTTTTGAAACAATTTTGTTAGCTTGTGACAACTGTCACTTTAACTTGCTTTTTAAAAAAAAGCTTATCACAATTGGTGAATTTTTGTGTAGCCATTTTACTTTTGAAGATGGAAGAAAATAAACATTTTTGGCATATTATGCTTTATTATTTCAAGGAAGGTAAAAATGCAACTGAAATACAAAAAAAAAAAAAAGATATACGAGTATATGGAGAAGGTGCTGTGACTTGACAGAATGTGTCAGAAGTGATTTACCAAGTTTTGTGCTGGAGATTTCTTGCTGGATGATGCGCTCTACAGTCATGTAGTCCAGTTAAAGTTGATAGCGATCAAATTGAGATATTGAGAACAGTCAGTGTTATACCACATGAGAGATAGCCGACATACTCAAAATATCCAAGTCAATAAAGTTATTGGCGAAAATGAAAAATGTGTCCCTTATTTTATGGGAAAAAAGCATACGGACTTTTTTGGCCAACCTCTTATTTACCACAGCCAGTTAACTTACTAAAGTTGGTACTTAAGTTCACAGTCCACAAATTACGTGTGTTCCTGTACTCCCCAGATCTTTAATTTTGTTTTGGCCTAATTCAATTAGAAATACTTAATTTTAATCCATTTCATTGGCTAAACTATTCCATTCCCTTTCATTTTCAAAGTGCAGTCCTAGGTTTCACAAGGGCTGAAATGTGGTGTCTCAGGGGTTGTCACTTAAAGGTAAATCTTGTGTGGTTTTTAATTTTATTACTCAGTTTTTTAGACTATTTGGTTTTTAGTACTAGTTTGGTCTGTTTTTGTTTTGTTTTTATCTTTTCCCCTGATTTTTCTCTTCAGACATATTTTTACAAGGAAAACGGTTCCATGAAGCCTTGGAAAGCATACTTTCACCCCAGGGGAACTTGAAAGAGAGAGAGGAAAATTTCCTTGAATCTGGCTACATCGAAAGCGTCCAGCATATTCTGAAAGACATCAGTGGAGTTCGAGCTCTTGAAAGCGCCGTTCAGCATGAGACCTTAAAGTATGTCGGTCTGCTGGACTGTGTGGCTGAGTATCAGTAAGTATTAGATTGTTTTGATCAAAGTGTGGAAGTGAACTAACACAGGATGGGACACATCATGCCTGTCAAACACAACTTTTTCCTCTTATCTTAATTATCTTCTTGCTTCAAGATGCAGCCTCTGGAAGTCAAAACCTGTGTGAAAGGTAAGAGAATTGGGCAAGGATGAATAGAGGGAGAAGAGCTACATAATCCTTGTAAAGCTTTGTTCCAAAATCAAAGTGGTGGAGAAAAGGTATATAACTTCAGTATCCCTAGGATGGTGTGTTTTCTAGCATGCTCCTTCTCCCCTCCCCCCGAGCCATATACCTGCCATAAGATCTCATTTGATTCTGCATTTTCTTTCCTGTTCCCCCTAAAAATAGCATTTTGATCTGTTAGCCCTGAAAGTCAACTCTTTTCCTAGCTTTTACAAACTATTTTTACAAATATATTTTAAAAACTATTTTTACAAATAGTTTTTGACATGGATAGAAACTCAGCTTACTACAGCTTCCTGTGGTTTTTATGTTCCTCTTACTGTTTTTCCCACTTGACTCCAGATTCCAAGGGTAGATACAACCTGTGCATACCCCTATTCCAACAAAAATATGTGAGCAATACAACAGGACGGGAGAAAAAATCTGAGTGTAACCTTTGGAATTCTTGTTAAAATTTAATTTTTAAAAATTATAATATTTATTACTATGGAAACTATGTTTCTACCCCCATATGGCTTTGTGCCCTAGCTTCCTCATATCTGAGAAGAACCCTGTGTGCCTAGAAATTTAATAGGATATTTTTGGATGACCTTTGGATTAACCAGTGGAGCCATATAATCAATTCCACCCAGGATCTACAAGAAATTTCTGACACCAGACACTTTTCATAGTGATTACAAACTATCCAAAGTACTGCTGTTTGTTTTTCACTCAACATAAAAGACTATCAGCATTGCTAATATGAATGTTGAACATTTTTTAAACTAAGGTTTTAGAAATTTAAAAAGAATTTTTGATGGGTACGACATGTACTTGAGACTAAAATTTTATATCACCTGTAACTGGAGAATTTAAGAAAAAGTCCCGTGTTACCCCCTGCTTCCCCCCCCACACACACACACACACACACACTCACACACTCACTTTTTTTTGTCCTAGCCGATGTGGCTGAGTTGGTTGGAGGGTCGTCCTGTAGACTGAAATGTCGCAAATTCCATTCCCGGTAGGGCACGTACCCAGGTTGCAGGTTTGATCCCCGGTCAGGGTGCATATGAGAAGGTAAACAGTTGATATTTCTTGCTCTCCCTCTTCCCCTCTCCCTTTACCTCTCCCTCCTACTTCCCCTCTCTAGAAGAAATGTGGTAAAATACACATAAAATTGACCATTTATTTTTAAGTGTATAGTTCAGTGTTACTAAGTACAGTCTATGGTGTGCAACCATCACCACCATACATCTCCAGTAGTACACTTTTCATCTGTTAAAACAGAAATTCTATGCCCATTAAATAATAACCTCCCCATTCCCCCCTAGTTCCTGCCACTGTCAACCATTCTACTTTCTGTGTTATACGTGGAATAACATAGTAATTTCCTTTTTCTGACTGGATTACTTCATTCAGCATAATGTCATCTATGTTGTAGCATATATCAGAATTTCTCTTCCAGGTTGGAATATTACATTGTATGTATATACTACATTTTGGTTATCTATTCATCTGTCAGTGAACACTTGGATTGCTTTCAGGTTTTGGGTATTATAAGTAATGCTGTTATGAACATTGGTGTAAAAATCTCTCTTCAAGACTGTGCTTTTAACTTTTTGGCTATATGCAAGAAGTGGAGTTGCTGTATCAATATGGTAATTCTATTTAATTTTTTGAGAAACCACCATACTGTGTTCTATAGGGGATATGCCATAATATAGTACCAATAGTGCACAAAAGTTCCCACTATTCCACATTCTCTCTGACATTTGTTATTTCTGATTTTTTTATACTAGCTAGCTAATGGGTATGAGGTGATATCTCATTGTAGATTTGATTTGCATTTCCCTAAAGATTAGTGATGTTGGGTATCATTCCATATGCTGATGGGCCATTTCTTTCTTTAGAGAAATGTCTATTTGAGTTATTTGCCTATTTTTAAATTTCATTGGTGTTTTTCATTGTTGAGGTTTAGGAGTTCTCTATTTAGAGATACTGGATCTTAATCTTTATCAGACTATGATTTGAATTATCTTCTCCAATTCTGTGTATTACCCTTTGACGCACAAATTTTTAAAATTTTCACGTAATCCAATTTGTCTATTCTTTTGTTGCTTGTGCCTTTGATGTCTTATCTAACAAATCATTGCCAAATCCAGTGTCATTAAGCTTTGGCCCTATTGTTTAAGTCTTATATTTAGGTTATGGAAACATTTTGAGTTAATTTTTGCATACGGTTTTAGGTAGGAGCCCAACTTTATTCTTTGCATGTGAATATCCAGTTTTCCCAATGCCATTTGTTGAGAAGGCTGTCATTGAATGGGCTTGGCACCCTTGTTAAAAATCAAATGACCATATAGATGAGGGTTTATTTTTGGGTTCTCTATTCTGTTTGTCTGTATGTCTGTCCTTAGACCCGTACCACATTATTTTTTAAAAGTTTGTATGATTTTTTTCCATAAAAGACTTTTTTTTTTCATTTTCACCAGTAACTTTATTTTAATATTTTGAATATGTCAGCTGTCTCCCGTGTGTTATAACATTGATTGTTCCCAGTGTCGATTGGATTGTTATCAACTTCAACTGGTCTTCCTGACTGTGGAGCCTTGTCCAGCAAGAAATCTCCAGCGTAAAACTTCATAAACCACTTTTGACACATTCCATCAGTCACAGCACTGTCTCCATACACTGCACACATCTTTTTTTGCATTTCAGTTGCATTTTTACCTTTCTTGAAATAATAAAGTTTAATACGCCAAAAATGTTTCTTACTTTCCTCCACCTTCAGAAGTAAAATGGCTACACAAAAATTCACCAATTGTGATAAGTGCTTTTTTTAAATGCAAACTAAGATGACAGCTGTCACAATACAGTCTAACAGAATTGTTTCAAATGAAGTTCAAGACAACTAAGCACTACTAGAGCCATCTTATGGAAACAAACTAAATGAACTTTTTGGCCAACCCAATAGTAAGTTTTGAAATCAGCAAGTGTGAATCCACCAGTTTTGTTCTTTTAAGATTGTTTCAGATATTTAGAGTCCCTTAAGATTCCATGTGGCTTTTAGGATGCGTTTTCTGTTTTTGCAAAAAAACAGTGTCACTGGGATTTTTATAGTACGTTGCATTAATTTCATAGGTTGCTTTCAGTAGTATGAACATCTTAATATTAAATCTTCCAATCAGTGAACATGGAATGTGTTTCCATTTTATTTATTTATGTTTTGTTTAATTTCAGTAGTGA